CACACACACACACACACACACACACACACACACACACACACACACACTTATGCAAGCATGCAGTATCTCCAGCTATTGCTCTTTCTTCCTTTCTTGCCTGAACACTCTCTATCACTGTCCCCGCCTCCCCCCACTCTGTCTCAGCCCTTCCCCTCATTTTCATCCTCTCCTCCTTGTCTCTCACCCTCTCTCTCTCCCACTCTAACCCCTTACATTTTTTTCAGGCGTGACAGGACGTCGTATTGCCTATCTTGCAGTCTACGTTCACACGATGTCTCTGAATGGGTGACCATTACTTTGTTGGTGTGTGTTTGAACATCCGTGCATCTGGAGAAGAGAAAGTCAACGTGTCTGGAGGGAGGTGCACGTGTGTGAGGTGTGTGTGCGTGCATGTTCTTGTGCACCGCTGTGCACTTACACATCTGTGTGAGAGAGAGAGTGTGTTTGTTGGTGTGTGAGGTAGGGAGGGAACGGGGGGAGGGGGGGAGAAGGCGGTGGAGGGAGCTCACAGACGGAGGCTGTGGATTTTACACAGCATGAGGATCAAAGCCACAGCAAGCCCAAAGGTGATTAACCTCCCAGTCGTTCTGACCACAACACTGCTGCTCCTCTTCCATATTTCATTAACACAACAGTCTGCTATCTGCACAATTCATTGCATCACTAATTCCCGGATATCCTCCCCATCACATGGCAAGCAATAAGTGAGTCATTAGAAATTGTGAAATCACATAGCTGAACTTTTGCATCTTTAACAAAAAACTCCCCAAATTACAAATTAAAATGTTGTGAAAATTTCAATAAGAAAATGCAATTTTTTGAATTGTATGCATGCTTGAAGTGATATAGTACAATAAATAAATAAAGATAAATTAACAAGAAAATAGAGCTTTCAATAGAAAGAAGAAAAAAAATCAACATTATGTATGAAATGTTAGTATTAAATTAAAAAACGTGCAGTAAGTGGTCACATTTCATAAAATAGCGGGTGGCAAGCAGCTCTATTGTGACGGATGTATTTTCTCTTGAGTTGGAACATGCCGAGGAGTCGTCTCTTTGTGTGCGTACAGAAAAGAGCAGCGCTTGGCAGAGATTGCTGATATATGCTCTTTTTTCCCCTCCTCGCACTGCAACGCAATGCGGATACTCAGTGTCTCAGCCACTAGCCAGACACACTGGGGGACAGGGGGGGGGGGGGTGGGGTTGGTGGGGAGCGAGGAGCGGGTGGGGGCTGGTTGGGGGGTTGCAGGGAGGAGAAGGAGGCGGTAAGCAAGTTCACATACAGCCTCGTGCTTCAGGACACACTGATACTAACGTCTAGGCACACTGTCATTATCTACCATGACTACAGAGAGCAGCAAGCGTGTACAGATCGTTCACTTTGGAGATTCTTTTGTCGATTGAATGAATGCACAGGGAGGACTGCTTTCAAAAATAAACAAGAACTAGAAACCTTTTGGCCATAAAATGCTTCATATTTGTACAATATGTAATTAAACCATTACGATTTCCATAAAAAGGCCAAGGTTATAACATATTGCAATTTAAATTTCATATTTTCAAACTGTTGAAAACACAGTGCAACCTGCTGTTTTACTTTACAGACAGCAAAAATGCCCCTGACCCCCAATTAAATAAATAAAATAGGAGTTCTTTATAGGTTTGTTTTCCTGGTTTTAACGTTCTCGATCATATTCCAGCATAACGCCTTAAGAGGTGTCGGGTGTTTTTTTTTGCACGGGCTGCTAAGAATGCAAAGAAGCAAAGCGCTATCGATAGTTGGCTCTATACCCTGTTGGACTGCAGCAAATAACATATCAAAGAGCCCTGCAGAGCAAGGTGGGTATATTGATGTCTGGATTAGCTGGACCTCAACAGAAAAACCTGATTACTATTTCATATGTATTAGATTTAAAGTCAGTGAAGAAACTGTTTTGTTGCTGGTTTTTTTATTATAATTATGGGCTGGAAAATTGTTGAAGGAGAAATGTTAAATTGTTTTAGATTCCATAATGGATGTGGTCTCTATGGTAGTGACTGTTAGTGCAGCTCTTTTGTCCAGCACTGCAAAAGACATCTATCAGATCTTTAAGGAAAACAGACCATGTTGAAAAAAGAGGTAAAAGAAAGACATGGTGAGAGAACATAGAGGGAACACACTGTATTATACCTAAATATAATTAGGACCCTCATTGAATAATTTAACTACAGCCCTAAACACTCTTTGATTTGCTATATTACTTTGCCATGTTCAATATAAATTGTACTGGTCAAATAGTTAAAATGATTCAAATGGGTTAACTGTAACCTTAAAAAACGTAAATGTTGTTCCTTGTTCGGGTCCGTCTTTGAACTTACCACTTCAAGAGACATAAAGAGCGGTGTCCTTCGTCTGAAGTCTGGGCGACACCGCAGGGAAAGCTAGAAGGTTGTACCGTTATCTCCAGGCTGTTTATGATGCGAAACCATACAACCAACTACCTCACACTGCAGAGCACCGGAGCAGGTTCAGAGTTGGAGTTTCTTCTTCTTCTTCTTCCATGCAGTGTCTTCTGTGTCTTTTACTTCTGTCTGTCTATGTATATCTGTCGCTTCCCTACATCTCATTTCATTCATAATCTCATATATTTATGATGAAGCTATTTTCCAGATTACCACATTATAAAAAAAGATACGGAAACATCTTGGTCTGTGGCTACAAGATTCAAGATTAATACTGTGATACTGTTGGAATTTAAAGAAATAATAGCTGAGACTGGCTAACTGAATGCACGAGAAAACATTTTGTGGACTTGTCTCCCTCTTGTGGGTATACTCAGTACATAGACCACCCCCACCCCCCACCGCAGGCCAAGGCAGACCATTACTGCCGCTGAATACAAAGGCAAGCACTTAACCTGCAGTTGCTTACTGTAGGCGTCTGCCTGACCTACTTCTGCAACTGGAGCCGGTGGAATCTTCCTTATCCTCAAAGACTCGATTCAGCACTACTGAGCAAACTTCATTGTCATTCTGAGGTTAAAGTCGAATACTCCTCTTCTGTTTTCATTTTACTGAACTTAGATTCCTATCGTGTCATGGTTTCTGAAGAAGGCTGATATTGTATATCACACTTTCAGCGGGCTGAAAGAGCAACACTTGTCTATGGTAGTATATTAACTCAAGACATTTGACCACAAATATTCTTAAGATTTAATGATACATTAAAGCCGCTACTGACGTTTCCTTGTCATTATCATTAAAGCTTGTTTTTTCAATGGAAAGTTTTGCCTATAAAATGTCACGTGATAGTGAAAACAACAGCTCAAGGTGACATCCTCAAACTGCTTGTTCTGTCTGACCAACTCTCCAAAACCCAAACACAGTTTGCCATCGTTTAAAACAAACAAAAAAGTAGCAAACAATCACATTGGAGGATTGGAACAGTAAGGCATTGTTGCTTGAAAAAATGATTAAAATTGATTAATTAACTAAAAGTTTCAGCTCTGTAATATATGATATCATATGTTGTTTTAAACGTAGTCCATTCCTTTTGATGGTGCTAAAGTATCTGAGAAAAACATTCATGTGAAGTTTGAAGATTACTAACTTATACATTTTCTGTTTTCTACTGCCTTGGGATTATTAATTTATATCACTGCACTGTAACTACAATGTAAGCTATATTCATGATGTCATAATGTAGTGTTTTATTTTTTTATCTTGTATGTATGCTGTCATTTATATATTGACTTGTGTTTCTATATTTTCTTGTCTCAATGGCACTTTGAATTGCCTTGTTGTTGGAAGGTGCTATAAAAATAAATTGGTCTTCCCTTGTCTATGCTTCAAATGAAGTGATTGTTGGATTGTCTGAAACACCTTCTCCAAAAGACTCGGGGGGGGGGGGGGGGGGGGATTTGCACATAAATTGTTGTAATTTTCTGAAACAATCCAGCAATCACGTGGCCAGGTGTGCAGAGTTGTGAACGTAGGAAGGGTCTGAACTCTCTGAAGTTATTTTATTCACCGACCAGAAGTGTGCTCCCTTATCCCCATTTCTACAATTATCACACCTCATCCCCAGATGCCCCACCATCAAGCGTCGTTCTTTTGAACAACTATGAACACGTTTGCCTGTCTTAAGTTATGTTTACATACAATCTCGAACAAGAGTGAGTGCATGAATGAATGAGTCTGACTCAATTTCTGTAAATAAAGATAACTGTAGTATTTTATCCAGATTGTGTGCTGTTAATGTTTGCCGGTGTGTTTATCTACTTTTGGTCTCATCAGAATCTCAGGAATGGTGTCAGATAGATAGCTCGTCACATTAAAATATTATAAGCTGATTTGCACTGTTTAATGAGGTACATTCTGGGTAATGCATACATTGGTGCATTTGAGAGCAGTTTCCAATACAACAAAGAGGATCTAATGGGTGAGTAATTGGCTGACAATTTGGAGTAACAGCACAATCCAGTCAATTTCTCTCATACCCAATAAATAATGAGCCGCACCCACACATTCGACATCTCGCCGAGGTGATCTCCTGCAAAAACTGCAAATTGGCTGTTGTTAGCAGTCAATGGCTGTGTTTTGACACTCCTCCTGTGTGCCTCAATGACTCATTGATTACTTGATAGCTGCTGTGCAGCTGAGTTGCTTGGCCCCCTATTCAACTCGGTCAATGCACCAAAAATACAACCTTGAAGTCTTGTACGACTGGAGTCTCACCGATAAAGCTGGACTCAAAACACAAAAGTGGTAGAACACCGACTCCTCGAAAGGGAACTCACTCTATTAACTGCCAGGACGATAACTGCATTTTAATATGTACTGCATAGCACAGGTAAACGTGTGCAAGATGATAAATGGCTGCGCTGGGTCTTGTTCAATTACATTATGGACATAAAAGCCATTTGTAAGCAGTCTTAACTTATAACGGAGCTAAAGATTCAACATTTAACCATTATTAAATAAAAAATTTGCCAACTAAGTGTGAACTTCAAAAGATACGGCAGAAACATATGCTTAATAGAGACATAGATTTTTTTTTTTTTTTATTGGCCAGCTTCCAAACACAAACCCATTTACCTCGCCTCTCTCCACTGCCCTCTGCCATGCTAAAAGCCCACCCTTCATTTTCTTTCTTTGGCCGTCCTCCCGCCTCTCTTAGTGCCTCTTATTTGTCCTCCATCACTGAACATTTCAGGCCTCAAAATCCTTTACAAGTATTTTCTTTTTTTGTCTTAGACATTCTCCCTGTTCATACCATCTAAGTCTCCCTCCTTGTTGCCCTTGATTCTGCTCCTCCCCTTTTCAAACCTCTCTCACCGTCTCATTCGAAGTCGGATCACGCATGAATGCGGCATGGTTGTGCCAATACCAGCTCTTTGCCAATCTGCCTGGGTGTGTTTGTGTGCCAATGTGAGTCTGGTGGGAAGCCCCTGCACTGGAGGCCAGGGTTGTGCATAAGCCTAGACCCGGGCTGGTGTCGGGTCAGATGAAGCTTTGTGGGGATTACAGTTTGGCCTATTGAGAGAGTGAAAACAAATGAATCAGGTTGAGCCAAAGTATATACCAAAGTATGCCTAAATCACCAAATATTGATGAACCTGAAAATTGCAAGAAAACTGGTCATGCCCCCTCTGCAATACAATAATCCACGTTATTTTTAGCCGTTGTAATCACTCATAACGTTGTATTAGTGCCCAAAGTTTTTGACGACACGAAAATTTGGCCCGTGAGGAACAAGATAATGACAGTGCTGAACTAACTGGCAAATACCAAGATGGCCACTAGAAGCTTTAGTATTGCAACACAATACTGAAAAAAACATCTGTTGCTAAGCAGAACTATATATATGTTTTTTTATTTAATCAGCCAAAAGTAAAAGTAACGTTTAAGTGGCTTATTTAATCAGAACCAGTTTATACATCAGGCTTGTAAAACCTCTTAAAGTAAGTTTGAGGGGAGTTCAGTTCATAAATTTAATTCAAGTTGTTCCTCTCAGTTCTAACAATGACTCTATGGATATGGATTATCACACACATGAGCGTCATGGTTTAATCTTGCAAAACAACAGTTGAGACAATACTGAGCAATAACTTATCGTTTGTTACTGCTAAAATAATCAAACTTAAATAATATTTTTTTCTATTATTTGAGGAAAATAACCATTGCATATGTATGTATGTATGAAAACTGGCAGCCAAAAGTTTTCCATTAAGTCGACAACAAAATCTCTACAAATGTTCAGGTTCTTTGCTTCTTTGATAAGAGGGCTTAAGATTTTCATTCATTTTTTGAACTGTGAGTTAAGGCACATAAATTATAATTAACTTATTCAAGAAAACAACGGTTAATTTCTTTGTGGAAAATTAACAGAATTGTTTTTTAAATGTATAATTTACGAATTGGATGTAAACAATATGACAGATAATTAATCTGAAAAAGAAATAGAAGTAGAAACTTGATATCTGAAATCCCTTTCTTGTTTTCAACTAACTAAATGTAAAACGTATGGATGCATGGCGGTTCTGACCCAATCAATTTCAAGATTAGAGAGCATCTGCATTCTGTCAATTTATATTAAACAAATTAATTTTTCAACAACAATGGCCTGTCAGAGGAAAGCCAAATGGCAAAGACCTCATGGTGTTTTACATGAAAAACAAGAACAAAAAGACATGGACTAACTGGAGAGATAATAATGACAGATAATTACTGAAATCAAGCACACATCTGCCTCGCAACAAGACGTTTTTTTTCAATTGAAGAAAGACGTTTAGGCTCTGCCGTTTCGACAAAACAAAGACTTCAGGTGACTCTCCCCCACTCATTGTCTTTGAGAAGTGACGCACAGAGACTACGGCGCCACCCCAACAATGTAGGGGCACAGAGGAGTGAAATCTGCCCGGTGACTGCAAATAAACTGTTAACCGCTGCTATGAATCGTCTGGCGAGTGCCAGCTCAACAGGAATGCAGGCCTCAGACAGCGATTCTCAAACTCTGGGCCAAGGACCGCTGAAGGTTCGCTTGACTTTACAGAAGAGAATGAATAGAGTTCTAAAAAGAAACTATTAAAAATCAATCCAAGATAAACTACGTTGATGAGAAAAGAACAAATAGATGAATACACTTTTTATATAAATTGTCAGAAAACATGTCCAAAATTCAGATTTAACTTCCAGGGAGTCTACAGTAGAGTGTGACCATTACTTTCCCAATTATATTTATAAGAAGTAATCTAAAGACCAGGAAGGAAGACTAAGACTACATGCTGGATTTGACAGTGTGTCACAAGGACTTGGAGATGAGACAATAATAATAATAACTTTATTTATATAGATCCCTGTGGATACTACACCCCTCCTCAGTCAGATGACAGCTCAGTGCAAGGCCAGGATAAGTATCCATGACTCACAAACTATAAATCATTAGTTCCCTCAAGATAGGTTGAGATTCGGCAGTGCGATTCCTCCCAAATCCCCCCATTTCACTCTCCCTGTACCTTATTTACAAAAGGCAGAAAACGTTGCCATAGCAACACGGTACCAGGCAACCTCAGCGGCTTGGCATGATGCCCAATGGTTGCTAGGGCACTGTTGTTAATGGCTACTGGGTAGTGTCGGCCAGGATGTGTGTGCATGAGTAGAAGAGGGGAAAGTGTGTATACGTGTGTGACTGCTAATCATGCAAACAGTTATGCGAGTCCCATATACAATGTTCTTAAATTATATACATGATGGCTCTCCGATTTGGTCTTCTTTCAACAGGTTGTAGTGTGTGTGATAGCTAACAGTCAGGAACTAGTCTGTGTATAGTGGCTGAGATATTACAATGCTGCATCAAAACGCATTGTCAATAGGAAGAAACTTGTGTTTTATGATGAGAGTACAGATTAAAGAGACAGGAGGAGACAGAAAGAGAGGCTCAGAGACATGGAAGTCCGTCTCTCTGTATACTTGGAGCTGACGCTCACCATCTCTATTTCAGTCAGATTCAAAGAGTCTTTGTTGGTCTAAAAAGGAAGAAACAGATGTTGCCAAAGCATTTACCTCACAACCGAGAACTAGTTTGAGGCTTTTCCCATGGCTCTCCTCTCACTGGGGAGCTTCTATGGTTGACCACGGCATTCCTGAAATCAGCAAAGCATCATGCAGATTATTAGCATACCACAGGATAGGAAGGGGAACATCAATAAACACATTGAGCCATGAAGTTGGGATAAGTAAATAAATAAAGTCAGCCACCCAGACACAACCTTATCTGGGCTTTTATCCACATAAACAAGTAGTGCTGGTAAAAAACCACCCTGGACTCAAGTATGAGGGAATTCTAGGAGACAATGAAACCATAATAGACCAATCCCTGATTGGAGATGAAGCACTCAGCAGCACAAAGAAATGAATAGAGAAGCGAGCATTTATGAAGGGCGAAGCATCAAACATGGTGCGCGGAGTATGAAATGGATTAACAAAGTGGGAGATAATGGTGAGAATGAATACTGTGCCATCAACAATGCATGAATGAGCGGGTGGTACAAAAATACATTTACAGCTGAGACGGTTAAAGTCAACGGTGATGAATAATACATTAATAATGCTGGAAAATACAGTTCGACATCATAAATTAAACAACAGTGAGCGAAACAAATGCAATAATTATGACACTGCAACACAATGAAAGACAACAGAGACGGCGATGTGAGGCTTTTGTGTTGGAGTGCGCTCATTAATTCCCACACGTGTACATATACGTATATCTATGGGCCTCCGTGTTCCTGTCTGCATGCACTTAGGGAGAGCGAGAATTGCCTGTGGTGCATCTTATCTAATTTTATCGAGAGGAAACCGTCTCTCCCCCTTGTTTCTCGCCCCCCCCCCCCCCCCCGACCCTTTGACCTCAAGCCGCTGCTGGAGATGACTGAACACAGCATGTCCTGAAAGGAGGTCAGAGGGCGGGAGAATCAGTCTGGTGTCATGGCAAATTGGAGTGGCTGGTGGAGCCGCAAGAAAGGTTGGTCAAACTGTCACATCCTAGTGAAGACAAAGGATGAATGAATTAAGCGTTGAACCTTAAAGGACAAAGCAATATTCTTTACTTTTGTTATCGTCAATAAGTTCCCATGAAAAGAGTAAACCGAAACAGACTCTATATTGACCCTAGTGATGATCAGTATTTCTGTTGTAGCTATAAAGCCTAAAATCGTATTCTTCTGTGTCACATTGTTCTCTAAAAACTATTAAAAACACTTTAATGAGCCCAACTGTTGCACTGGGTGACATGCTCCTTCATTACCATGAATATGAGCAGTGTAGTCTATTTTGAGTGATCCTCACATACGCCTTCATGTTCAGAATAATAATTATGTTTTTCTTTTTTATACAGTACATCTCATTCTTACATTTTCCTTATGATGCAGTGTTTGCAAAGCCCATCAATGAACATAGTGACTTAAACTTGACGGACTTCCATTTGCTAATTTTATTCTAAAGACTAAGAAGGGCTTTCAAAATATACACAATCGGCTGAATGATTGCCATTTATTGTGCTCATAACTCGGAGTACAATTGAGAAAAAGCTGAGAAATGAACTGCAGCTGTAATTGTGTCGTCTGCCGGAGCCCGCCCTAGACTGTCTGCGTTTTCATCTTACTGCTGAGGTGTTGGATCAATATGGAATCCGGGTTCCTTTGTATGTCATTAGCTTGTCTCATGCTGGAGCTGGGACCTCTCTAAACCTTCCTGTTTTCACCCTCTGACAGATGAAGAGTGTGCAATTGCGGTCGTGTCTGTCTGCAGTGTGTGTGTGTGTGTGTGTTTGTGGGCATATTAACCTTTAAATCAGTTCTCGTATAACAGGTTGGTAAATTAGCGTTTTGAGCCTTTTTTCTTTGTGTGTATGTGTGTGTGCACACGTGAGACTTGTTCGAGACGCGCATGTGCTGCATCTGCATGTGCGTGTATGAGGCTTGTGTGCGCATTGTGTGTGTCCTTGTGTTTGTTCAATGCGGCAGAGGGTGGAGTGGCAGATCAATAGGAAACAAATGAATTCAGATCAATATTAAACCAGGGAGTGAAGGAGAGAGAAGGAGAGACTGAAAAGCGAGTGAGTGGGGTGATGCGCCACAGAGGAGGAGATGGGGGAGGGGTGATGGAGGGTTGGAGAGGTGATGTGTTACCAGCAGCACAGCGACTAACTGTACACTTGGGAAAGACCACTCATTTCTACAAGCAAAACCTCAGTGATTTGAGGTCGTTGACGGTTAAAACGGATGGTTAGGCGAGGTAGAGAGAAAACAGAGAGAGACATGTGAGCAGCGACGCACCGGAGACAAGCCCGGCATTCCTGCATCACTGGTGGTGTTAAGGGAGACTGGACGGTGCTTCTTTTTCTTCAATTATTCTTATTTTTTTTATCTCTATAGACCCTTTCTTGGTTAAATAAAGTTACATATTTGTTTCACTTTGGTGTATTTTTTTAATGAAAAGCCCTTTAAATGGTGCTTTAAAAAATGATGCCTGAACAAAATAATTTACCTCTTTGTATGACTTATTTATTATTTCCCATTTTTAATCCACGCTTTCAAATATTTGTCATACTTGTAATGCTTCATGGAGCTGGCAATAATCAACATTTTTCTAATATTAGAGCATTTTAGTATTATGCTTTGGGAAAGTATTTGATTGTTAGAATCTAATCTGTTGATGACTGAGGTGAGAGAGTCATGGAAACCTCAAAGCCCAGATCTCACAACAGAACAATCTGCCACTGTCTGCACAGGCAACTTTGAGCCTTCTATTCCTAATCTCAGGCTACCGAGCATATAATTGTGACCTTTTCACTTAAACTCCCTGTTGCAGCTTGACATTTACAGCCAAACCTGTAAGGACCACTCAGATGGGAGTGGGCTTTACTGCTAGGTTTGGAAAACACTAAAACTATCAAACAATCCTAATCAGTGTATCAATGTCATCAACATAAAGTTATCTCCATTGACGATAAATCTGTTGATGATTTTTTTCCATCAACCAATTTTGTTTTGTCAATATAATATCACAAAATAACCTATCATAATGTGACCTGAAGTTGACATCTTCAAACAGCTGTTTTTGCTCAACAATGGATGTAGGAAAAGATTCCTGGTCAAAAACGCTGGATTGAGGCTGTATTCCTGTCTAGCGCATGTCGGGTCCTCTGCTGAAATATGATATACCGGTCAACTATAATGGTCTAGACTGTGATCGAGAAATCCCCAGAGATTTAATCGAGTATCAAAGTTCTATTGTTGAGAATGTTATTTTGAGCTGAGCAATACATAGGCGATAGATTACAGCAGTATCGATATTAGCCTCTTGGACTTCTACCTTTATTGAAAAGAGTCTCCCCCTCTGGCAGTGCGAGTAATTACACAAACACTGTCTAAGCGTGCTTACGACGAATACCTGAAGGTGAGCTCGCCGCGTTTCCCCCGCCCCCAAGAGCGTTTGTCCTCGCTGTCAATCTCTTTTTTTACTTTAATCATTCCTCTTTAAGTATTTGTGTGTATTTATACCAATTTATATTTTTTGCTAAATTGACTTAATCTATCATTCATTATCTCAATTAAATATATTCAGTTAATTTGTTCATTTGTGATATATATACCGTATATCATACCTATGCTGAAATTTCTTTCTTGAGATTTTCTTGCGTCGGAGTATCGCCTTGAAATTACAAACAGGATTGCTGAGCTTTGAGTATCTGCTCGGCAATGAGATCAAAGAATCAAGAGCCATTTGGGAGTCGGAACTGAATGAGACTTTGAAGTGATAGTGGCGAAAACAAACACATGTCATGGATGCTGAGTGCTTTCTTAACGGGCGCTCTCCACTTCCTGCACAAGGTTCCTCGGCTCTTGAGATGGATTTCAATGATGAAAGCCTCGGTTAACTTTAAGTGCAGTATCTCTAAAGGCAAAGTACTGCATGCTATAAGTGATATTGTTGAATTGAAGAGATACATATAGCAATGCATTACCCAGAATTCACTATTTGGCCTTGAAAGAGAAGCATGAATGGCGGTGGGGATGCTGAATACTATCACACAGTTGTTGACTGGCAGTTTTATAATTTGCACACTGAACATATTTGAAGAGAATCACGTCAAATATAACAGGCACTTTCATTTCAAACTACAATCTGATATATAATATATAATCTAGGTTTTATTGTATTGTGAACAGTTGCTGTTTTTACTATTCTGGTGGGACATTTGGCTGCACTAATAATGTACATATGCATTCTTTACTTAATATGCATCAAAGCAACAATTTTTCTATTTGCCAGATTTTAGATCACAAATCATATTGTCCTTCAATATGTTTCTCTGTGCTACATACACGTTGCCATCACTTCATATGAATCATCAGAAACTGCATATTTTGTAGCACTTGATGGACCCACTGGAGCAAAGAAGGGACCGGTTGCAGCCAGCGACGGTTACTCTCTGAGTCAATCTATCAGACGTGATGATTTGAAGATGTGGAGAATCACTGTCACTCATTTCACCCTTGTTGAACTTACACTACAATTTTAACCTTTGCAATCTGAGTCATCTCAAGAATTACAGTTAAAAATAAGATTTCTTACACAAAGGATCTGTAATTTACCCTGTATTTGGCAGGTTGGAGGTGCAAAAATGGCCTGTTTTGTCTGTTCAAAACTAAAGATATTCAAATAACTGTAATATCAGAGAGAGAAAATCTGAAACTCCACACGTTTGGATAAGCTGGAACCAGCAGATGTGATGCATTTTTCCATGATAAGGGACATAAACCAGAGATTGATAATCAAAATTGTTGTCTATGGTATATCATGGTTTTGTTTCTTTTCATGCAAAGACTCATTTTCTTTGATAAAGGAAGTAAAACCAACAGAGAGACAGACAGAGAGACAGTGAGAGATACCTGAGGCCATGATGTCGAACATCACCACCAACCAGACAGTCTGCTAAAAAAAAAAGAAGCATGGAGAGGCAAACATGACCATGTCTCTCAGCTTTTCTTCCTGTCTCTCCTCTTTAATGTGAAAGCCTCCCCTCCTCACTTTCTGTCTCCCTTTGTCTCTCTGACTGTCTCTTTCTCTCTATGTCCCCCTGAGCTGTGTTCTGTGTGCTCCATCCCCGCCTCTCTCCAGCTCCCTGCCTCTAATGTGCTTTGGCGTGTGTTACCCACGGGTGCTTACGCGCTGCTGCCGCCATCCTAAAGCCGGGGTCACAGGGGGCAACTGAAGCGGCGCAATGCTGTCTGTGACATCATCAGTCACTGCTATTACTCACGTCTGACCTCCCCTCACTGTCTCAAACTGCAAGGGCTTCAGGTGCTCGATAGCGAACACAGACGCACAGTAACACGCGTGGTGTCAGAGATGAATAAAATAGCACTTGAAGAGCTGTATCTGAGAATTCTCTGGAAATCCAATTTGGAAATTTGTATTACCTAAAATAGTTCAGACTCACACATAGTTGAGAGTGAAATTATTTTAGTGTAGCATGCATTTCATTACAAGTTATTACTTTGTCATAGTTTCTGAAATGTTGAATATCTTTTATGGAACTAAAGTCTTCACTTAACAATTCAGTTTTAACCTTAAACGGACAACAAGATGAGCATGACATTAGAGTTAAAAATGTAGCATGACAGAATATTTATGGTACGGTGTCAATCACAGTAAAGTGCATTAAACATTTTCTTATGTATAAACATATGTATTAGGGCTGCAACTTTTTCTAATTTGTCAATTTGTTTTTCAATTAATCAATTTACAGTTTAGCCAATGAAATGTTTAGAAATAGTGAAAAATCACATTTTCCCAAAGCCCAAAGTAGACTAAGAAGACTAAAGAAATGTCACATTTAAAAGGCTGGAACCAGTGAATTGTTGCTTAAAAGATGAATAATTTTTCTGTCTATCATCTTTTATGGAATTCAAATTCCTCTAGTTTTGACCTAAATGTTCTCCAAGATGGGGATGACAGAACAGTCAATGATCTAGCATGACAGAATAGTTCAGATAGGAAAAGCATACAAAAGAAACAACTTGTAAAGTAAAGTGAAACAATAAATCATGAAACATTTGAGAGGTATTCCACACGTAATTCATATGTGTATGGATGTAGAGAGTACAGACAAACAAGAGAATCTCCAGATGTGGCTGCCAATACCCCTCTGGATGGGGTATACGGCTGTGCACAGTCCACATTGGTGTAAAAGGGAGAAACGTGCTTCCATTCAGTGAGCATGTGTGTGAGGCTCAGACTGTGTCAAATCGCCACATCTGCCAGCAGCGGAAACACTCCTGTACCAGGGGGTCTGTCTGTCACCCCCGCTGTCAGCCAATGAAGAGGTGAGAGTCTGCAAACTCCTTCACCCAGGAATACGTATAGCTAGTATGAAAGCCCCTGGCCTGTATGTGGGAACACACCCTATAAATCATACATGACCAGCACCACCAGGCACCATATGGACAGCACTGCATTAATAACAAGCATGCCAGTGTCATATACACAAGCATATAAAGAATAAATGCGTCTACTCCTTTTTTGTCTCACTCCCCTGTATTCCCGCTATGTCTCCTTGAAAGCAACTGCAGCACTGAACTCAATGTGCCGCAGAAAAAGACAGAGAGGGAGACAAATACGTGACACAAAAAAAACTAAAAAAGATAGGAAGTTGAAGGGTTGGAGGATGGATAAACCACAATGACGGAATAATGACGTTTGGAGCATAAATACCTGGAGGCATTAATATTTGAAGACGAAAAACACAAAGATAAAAGTGCAAGGGGACAAATAAAAGACAGAACGAAGAGTGGAAAAAAAACATGCGGCAAAGTAGAACAGCAAAATAGACGGAGTGAGTGAAGGACAGATTAACTGAAAGAGTCACAAGAGAGAGACAGAGACAAATAAAGAGCAGGCAGGAAGAACAAAAGAGGAAATTATGTAAAGGAAGAGAGTGGAAGAGGAGAAAGAAGGACAGATTTGGAGCCAGACAGAGAAAAAACGATGAGAGAGAGAGAGAGAGAGAGAGAAAGGCAGGCAGAATTAGATAAAGATAGAGAGCAATGCGCATGCTAAAATAGGTGGCAGACTCTCGTCAGTGCAGTGACCTAGTCGCGCAAGACTGAGGAATTCTCCCTGTCGACCCGAACATTCCTCCGGTCCTCAGACGTTAACCCATGCCACACCACCATACTGTACTGCAGTGGCTTATATGGCTTCTCTGTCACTGACCTCACACTGGATGTGAGCTTCGAATTCATTTGGAAATTTGAATTGATGACCTGCGGTTATATTTACAGAGCTAATTCTGACTGTGGAAGCAAACTGCTTCAACAAGAATGGAAATATCAGGTAAAGCGCACAGCTCAGCCTGCTCTGAATCAACGGTCTGTGTGTGCATGGGGCCTTGCAAAAACACATTGTGAAAATATCAGGGCAAGAAGGGCTCTATTGTGTCGCAGAGGCAGAATGTAGCTCTTATTCTCCTGCTGCTGGACCGGGGGCATCGGGGTGACATCAGCACAAAGACAAAAATGTAATGTGAGGCATCTCCAAAGCGAGCTTCTAGGTTAGACCACAGACTGCTCTTTATACCCGTACTCTCACTTTTCAGCAACATCTGATAATCGGGACGTGACCAACAGATGACCCTTCCACTTGTTGCTTACTAAGATAAGTCACAGAGAACAGTGTTGCAAGAAACTGACTGGAATAGGTGTGCCAGCAAAATGAAAGATTGTCTGCTTGCTGCTCTCACGTAGGCCCACAGTTAGCACATATCTGGGAGGTTAATCACGACAGAATGACTCAGGGAAGAGTAATTCAATTATTCTGATGGTCCATTGACGTTTCGATCAGGCCACAGACTAAAATGGCTGACCAAGTGTTCCTGACTGCTGAGTGCCATTAAGCAAAACTCTAGTCAGTAAAGCACTTGTTTTGTCTCAGTCTTTATATATATATATACACACAGTACAGGATCTGTTGCTTATCCTGGACCCTTGTTAAATTAAATAAATGTAAAGTAAACTCCTTTCCTTACCTGATAAAAATCATGTCTTCAATGAAAAAGTTCTCTCAGAGGCTCAACCTGGAAAACAGACATACATATACATTATTTACGCTGTAATTACTTTGAGAATTGTAGGTATTCTGTAAAACATGAATTGTTTGATAGGATTCATGCACTGATTCTGGATTATTTGTCTTTTGTCTGTTAGCTAGCCTAAATCCAGCCCCATTCTTCCCTTAAAATTCACGCTACCCTTATCCTATATTCAACCATATTTCAAGATTGTTTTTCAATCCTCCTTTTTTACAACACAACCGATTGTTGCAGCCATTTCATTGAACTATTCACATTTCCTTCCAGGCCCGTTAGGCTGTTGTAGTAGCACTCGCCAGTTTCCAGCTGGGAAAACACAAATTCAGCAGCACAAATTCAAACCAGCTACACACAATGACAGCTTGCATGGGAATTCCTGAGGTCTGTTCGATCCATTAATGTATGCTGCGGTTGAATGTCATCAATTATGAATGAGAAACATGTGAGATTCACAGAGAGCTGGTAGAGAATCATGGGTCATGGCTGTTGGACTGTAGCACCGTGAATACGTGCAACGTAATGTGTGAAGTATATTAGTCAATCAGATATACGCGAGTTCTGGGCAGGCTATCTTTAAACGTTAGCACTTTTTGAAGAAAACCTATTATCAAATTAAGAGGATGATTTCAGTCAAATTACACAGAAATGTACATACCATTTGTAAATGAGACAGCCTGCAGCAAACCGCTCCTACTATAGGTGGGGTTATTCTATTCCCTCAGCCTTTAGGTGTCAGGCGCTTTCGTCCATGTGTGTGAATACTGCAGTATCTTTATGCAGCCGGGGCCTCTTCCCCTTTAAGGCCCAGAGTGTGTTGACCCTGCCAGTGAGTTCATACCATAAGCAGACCCATATAGCTTCTCCTCCAGAGCCTCTGATTGCAACCCTGTTGAGCTGCGGCCTCAGTTATGTAAGATTACATAACACCAGGTCTGTCTGAGTAATGTTTCATAAGCTGGGGGTCCCACTACACTGACATAACCATTAAATCCTATCAGGAGTGGATTCAAAGGTGCTGGGCAGGTTTGGCAACGTAAAAATAAGTCGAGAACAAATACAATCAAGTCGAAGGCTCTGGGGGGATTTATCTCTCCTAACGTTCTTGTGTTTTTTGCAGGAGTTTGGTTCCCCCAAAAATGTTGACATCAAAGATTTTTCCTTCATTTTCTAGAGAGCTATAGTGGAGGTCGTGGAAAGGTCGAGCCCAGTCGCCACTAAACAAAAGCGTCCTCCGCCCTTGGCTTAATACAGAATGCAGCGATGCTGTCTGCCTATAAATGTCATATCATTGTGTATTAATCAAATCATTGCATATGAATTCATTCGGCACACATTTAGACACTGAATATTATTAGAAAACTAAGCCAGTAACTGTTATCTAACGGCCTCCGCTCGACAATTAGCTTCTTTTTTTACCCATAACTGCAGTATGTATTTTTGTAAATGACTGCGCTGTTTTTAATCAAACTTTTTCTGACGACCATGTCCTCACATAAATTCAATAACCTCGCTTTATTCACAATCAGATGACAAACAAAGATATTAAATCAGACAATAAAGACAAAAACTAGCACAAACAATCAAAAGGTGTTTCGGCACACTCCCCTCTGAACGATACCAATGGATTATCGTGGATTCAGATAAAAACTATGACACGTAATAGAGAAAATGTGGGTAGAGATAACAGGAGGCTATGTAAATAAAAAACAGAGCAGGCAGAGATATAACACGGGAGAGGAAAAAAGGGAAAGGAAAGAGATGCCAGGAGATATCTGAGGCCGATACCGCAGGAGAAAAGGGTATATTCGATGGAGGTTACAGCAGATGGACTGCAAATGGACGATAGCAGACTTGTGATACATCGTATGCCTCTGTCTACTGTTCAGGCTCACTCTACTGACAGTACCCTAAAGCATTCATGTAATCCACTACTGTCGACACCTCGACATAGCAGAGTGCATACATGCAGTAATTTGCACCAAAGGCTCCGTCGTTACCTGTAACTTCCCCGCATCAGACAAAAGTAATCTCGCCCAAATGCGCAGGTTGTGGAAATTAAAAAAAAACTTGTTGAAGAGAAGTCCGGTGTGTTACTTAGTTTACGCCCTGGAACAAATCCCTACTTATCTTTTGTTGGTACCGAACCACATCTTGGACCGTGGGTTTGTCTTTACAGGCGGACCGTCAGATTCGGGTTCGGGATAACCGGATGAACGGATGGAAGATGGCATAGAAAAAGGGGGAGAAGCATGGGAGGAGTGAAATACACAATGAGAGAAGAAGAAGAAATCCTGCAGTACTTACAGTATTTTCGCCTCTCTGTTTCGCCTCATTCGAACACATCACCTTTCGTTTTTGTGCATTTTATAACAAACGCCATCGCACAATCATTTCATGAATATGAAACCTGATTGTACGCATGCGTAAGCAGGAGTGACCGTCCGCCACTGCCGGCTTCGTTAACTCTAAATCACACACCAACATACTAACACACACACACACACACACACACACACACACACACACACACACACA